TAACATTACTGCGTGCAAACTCTAACCTTTCAATAATTGAAACTTAAACAGCTTTTGCCATTTGTAGTTCGCTTTAATTTATACGAATAGACTGATCGAACCAATGAAGTAAGGCTATTCACCTTACACTCTCACATTACACAACACCAATACATTCAAAAAGCATTTCAGAATCATATATTCAGACTAATCCTCGTGTCTACTTCCCGTCACTGCATTGTAAGAGTTACATATATATATATATACTAGTTGAGCAATCAAAAATCAAAAACCGAGGATTAAGACCATATCTACCTGTTTCTGGCCAGTCTTGCCCGTAAACACAGCCGCAGGTACAAAGAGATTTTTATACATGTCATTTTCCTGGAGATGCAAACCTCGACTTCTCTCTCTGTCGGCTCAAGCTTCTGTCTCTTGGGGATGATCCCAACCCTGCTTGGCGCATGATCTCTGCAACAACATATACTACAAATCAATGACTTGATTTACCAAGCTTACACAGTTGATATGGTTATGTCTAGAAAAGAACGTAGGAAACGTTGTCATGCAAGTTCTGACATCAAAGAAAACACAATAAAGCGTGCAGTCTGCAATCATGAAATCACAAACGAGACTTACCTTGTCGCTTTTTTTCCAGTTCTTGATCAAGCTCTTCCTTCCACTTCTTCTCTATCTCTGACAAAGCAACACTGCAAAAGCCAAAACCAGCAGATGAACGAAATGAGTCAAGAACCTAGCCTAAGGGAAAAAAACTGGTGCTGGCCATTCCCTAGGCTAATTTTGAAGAGAGCAGGACGGAAGTTTTGGAATTCTTAAACTTTACTTGTTTGGACACATTTGAGATTACTATTCTCATATGACCAAAATAAAGTTAGCACTTGTTTGAAACCAAAATGCAAAAATTATGCATGGAGGCCAATCATAGCTTAAGACGTGCGTGAATGGGACTTAGTTCTGACTTCTTGATTACTACTGAGAGCCTAAGAGGAACAGATGGAAATGTTTAAAATATAACTTAAATCCCAAAACGAAGTAGTTCTTGTGCGACTAACCTCTGGTTGCTTGAATCCTGTTTAGTATCAACAATAAGACCCCTCCAGTCAGCGACCCGAGCTGATACACCATCCTGTAAAGCTTCATCACCTCCATTGTTAATATTCAAATCACGACCACTACCACTTCCTGGGCTCTTGGAACGACTAGCTGTGTCTGTTGCTCTAGAAGGTGAACCACCAAGAGGACCACGACTCGGTGACCTGCTTTTTGGAGGCAGTTTCAGGAAACCACGAGCAGTGTCCTCTCTTTTACTGTTACTTAAAGTACTCTCCATACAACTGGGAGAGTATGTGATCAAACTGTTGTAGTATTCTTCATATAGAGGCGTCTGTAACTTCTTTAGGTCTGCAGCCTAAGATTAATATATTCACTGCCATGTTAGTGATTGGCAGAAAGTGATTTACGTACAAATGCATTGAGGAAAATTATTAGTGTAGTATAATGTGCATGAATCACCTTCTCATCTAAGAAAGCTTTAATTTTTGACTCGGTCAGCTCATCATCATCCTCTGAGTATGAAGGTTGGTCACCTTCCATGCTCATTTTGGTCTCTTTCTCTCCATTACCAGGACTGTCGTCAAATTTGGACTTCACAGAAATGGACATACCACTTATGTCATCACAGCTCTGTCCACATAGATGTTATAAGTGATGCTTACAAAACAAATTGAAACCCAATACAAACAAGAGTTGAGACTTGAATTGGCCACTGGAATCTAGATGATAAATATGAATCATAGATATGCTTACTTTTTTTAGATCACTATTGCTTTCGAGGGTAGGCCTAGTCTCTCCATCAAATGTCAAGAAATTCTCATCATCAATCAAACACATATCGTCTTCATCACCTCCATTATCATTTTGTCGCCAGGAATTGTTGTTTTGAAATGATTTCACAGGATAAGCAAGTGAACAATTCAGACTTCCCAAGTTACACATGTCACCTACATCGTCGCATGTAGAATCTGGACTGAAACATAGGAAGCAGACGAAAAACTTGTCAGAACCTTTCATAATACCCCAAATTTTTTTTTTAATACTTTTGGTTTTAGCTAGTTTTTTGGAACTTACGAGCTCTTAGTGTTGGTTAACTGTGACGGTGGAGTTGTACTAGCATTGTTCTGGAAAATAACAAAAATGATCCTATCAAGATGGCTTCAAGAACAACTTATATGATATTCATAAGATGATCAACATGCACCCACCATGACAGAACCAAAATCAGTAGAAGCAGATTCCTTCGGTTTTCCCATAACAAAAGGATGCTGCGAATTGAACAAAATTAAGAACTTTACTCAAAAAAATTCCAATTTTATATTGGGGCATCACTTAAACTACTGCTTATGGTTCACCTTTAGTAGCTCAGATGCAGTTGGCCGCAGATTTGGTTCCCTGCCAAGACACAATAGTAGTGAAGGAAGTTATTTTTGAGTACTACTCTAATATTTCTAAAGCAAAGTGCCTTACTCCTGCAGACACTTGAGCAGAAAGTCTTTTGCATCAGAGGAGAGAGTATCAGGAATTGGAGGATGTGATTTTGTAGTTCCAATGAAGAAGATAGCAGCAACCTGAAAAGCAAGTACATCCACCAGTAACTAAGAAGCAAAATTTCTCATAAAAATTATAGCCAGCAAAACGAAATAAATTACCTCTTTATACTGCTGACTCCAAGGAGCTTTCCCAGTCACCATTTCAATAACTGTACAGCCCACACTCCATATATCAGCAGAGCTGAAAATAAACCCAAATGTGTGTGACAAATCAAAATTATGAAACATATGTCTCCAAAGCTACAAATAATAGCCATAGGTGTATGAGATATTCAGTTACAAAACATGTAATTGTGTATTTACAAGCACACTTGAGTGCTTACAAGCTATGTCCAGTTTGAAGAATAACTTCCGGAGCCATCCAATAGGGTGTCCCTTTCATAGATTTTGCACCAGAAATCGTAGCCTATAGATGAAATTATGTCAATCGCATTGAATTACTATGAAGAACATATTAGATAAGGCCGACTGAGAAGTAAATGTACACACAGAACAGAACGCTTCCTGCGATATAAGTTGAAGAATACAAAGTAACTGACTTACCAACTCAGCTACTTGTTTGGATGCACCAAAATCAGCAAGTTTAATGCATCCTTTGTTATCCACAAGGATATTAGCCCCCTGAGAAGAGAGAGGAACGTGGAATATCAGGACAAGGACTCGAGATTGTAAGCACTTTCAAAGTATGGGGAGAAATTGTTGCCTTAATGTCTCTGTGCATAATTGCATGATTGTGAAGGTACTCCAACCCAAAAAGTAGCTGCTTCGTGTATGTCCTTACAACCTAATTCCATCATTCTCAACACTTCAGCACAACAAACATTTTAAGAGATCGAAAAAATAAATTCAAGCATGACTTACTGATTCAGGAAAAGGTCCGAATTTCTCCAAGAGCGATGATATAGATCCACCAGGAACAAACTCGAGAAGGATATTTAGAGTGTCATCTTCCCTCACTGTGCCCAAATATCTCTAAGGGCAAGAAAAGAATAACTGAGTTTGATAACACAAAAGGTGCTGGTTTATATGCACTGAGAAGAGCCACGGTTACTTACAACTATATTTGGATGGGAGAGATTTTTGAGAAGCTTAACTTCTTCCTCGAGCTCCTGAATATGAGCCTTCGTAGTACCAAAGATAGAAAATAAAACTCAATAGAGTACATATGCAACAACATAAACAGTTAAACCATAAATGTGTTGGGTTGTTTATGAACCTGAGTTTTTTCCTTGGAAGCACAATTGGCTGCAATCAGAACCTGAGTAGATATAATTGAAACCAACTAATCATCAGATCAAATCCATGAAGAAGAAAAAAAACTACAAGCGTGCTTGAGTCAGAAAGTTGGAATGAAACAGATCCAGCTAACCAAATTGCTTCAGAAACCAGTTCAACGAAAACCACAAGTCGACCACTACAACTTCACACTATGTACAAACAGTATACACTACAGATTTGGAGCAGATACAGTTGGTGCGAAGATTGCATCAAATTCCTTACTAATAAAACTCGAGTAGATCAGAATATTCTAATTCCGGATCCGAGATTCAAGTTTCCCAACATAAGCTAAGCCCCAATTGGTTTTCAAACTTAAGCCCCAATTAGAAAAATCAAACCCTAGTTTACCTGTTTTACGGCGAGGAGCTCTCCGGAGTCGAGATTCATACCCATGTACACTGTACCGAACGCGCCGCGACCAATTAACTGACCTTTCCTCCACGAAATCGGAGGTGCCATTTCGACGGTGGTAGTAGGAGGCGGCGAGGAAGAGGGTTTGATTAAAACCCTCGATTTACGGATACAGGATGTGATCTTATCGGCGAGAACACCGGGAAATGGAGGATGATTCTCCTGGTTATCTTCGTCGCCGGCAGAACGGAAAACCAGCGATCGACGAACTGAGCCGAAGAAATCTTGCATTTTAACGATTTGGGGGAGACGAATTTTTCACTGTGACTGTTGTTTCATCGGTCGGCGAGTGTGTGAGAGGGAAAAAGGCATCGAAATTATACCTTTGAAATGGAAAAATAACCAAACAAAACACCTTTTTCTCC